AAAATGACGTTGGAGGCTGTTTATGGTAAATAAATGAACATTAAATTATCTGGCAACAGCTCTGGTGGACATTCCTGCAGTTAGCATGCCAAATCCACACTCCCTCAAAACTTGAGACATCTGTGGCATTGTGTTGTGTGACAAAACTGCACGTTTTAGAGTGGCCTTTTATTGTCCCCAGCACAAGGTGCACCTGTGTAATGATCACGCTGTTTAATCAGCTTCTTGATATGCCACATCTGTCAGGTGGATGGATTATCTTGGTAAATGAGAAATGCTCACTAACAGGGATGTAAACACATTTGTGTGCAAAAATTGTGAGAAATAACTTTTTGTGCGTATGGACATTTTGGGGATCGTTTATTTCAGCCCATGAAACATGGGACCAACACTTTACATGTTGCGTTTATATTTTTGTTCAGTGTAGTTAATTAAAGGGGTAGTTTCGATAATCTATCCCAGTCATTTGAAATTGATACATGCAGATTTCTCTCTAATGCATACATTTTATAAACCTTTGATTTTTGGATGAACTATACAGTACCTTCAAATCAAATCTTTAAGAGCTACACATTCTCACACTATGAAACAGGTAGTGGGTACAGCAGAGAGGAAGAAGCGACGCGAGAGGGTTTACTCTGCCCAAAACACGCCCGGGAAGGTCAATGAGTGTCGAATTTGGTCAACACATTTTTCTATTTCAAATTTGCTACGTGAGGCTTATTTGATAATGGTTTCGTAATGCGCTGATATAAGTGGACACGTAGCCTGTTGTTCACACGCGTATCTGCCCTCTCATTGGCTAGAATGGTCCCACCGGATTCTCGCCTCCTCCCGCCTGCCTTCCATCTTTGAGGACATGTATTTCCATTGTTAGAGCTGTCACTCAACTATCTTGTCAAATATTATAGATAATCTTTGGGTACAGGTAGGGGTGAGGGTCACATGACTGAAAGGTCAGAGAAACAACTCTTCACCTTTGACCTCCAGATAAACCACAGAGTAGACATCCAGACCTCGATCGACACGGACGCCACACATATACATCCCAGAATCCTCTTGAGTCAGCCCAGTGATTGTCACGGTGAACACTCCATCTGTGTTGTTGTCATGGAGAGAGAACCTCCAAGTGTTGTGGTTGGATGTGACTGTAGCCTGTTGTAGACATGTCGAGGGTCGGGTCCCTATGCAGAAGTACTTCTCACTCTCCTTGTGCTGAGGCTTGTAGGGACAGCTTACTGACACAGAAGCTTGGCTGTTGCCCTGGACGAGGGCGCGGTTGTCACAGCACCAGTCTGCCAATCAACTGAGATACACATTTCAGTTCTATTCCATTTCTTCCAAGACATTATCACACAAAGGGCAAATTCCTTACGGAAAAACCATATGAATTTCACGTAATCACTATTCACATGTAATCTTACGTGAAGTTAATGTGATAACATGTGACAACATGCAAAGATAACATGAAACTACACGTGAATGTTTCTTGCATGTGGAACTGCAAATTTCAAATGTGAATCTGCAATTCACATGTGAAAAGGTGGTGTTAACATGTGAACTCTATATTGAATACATGTGAACATATGTTTTCACATGTCAACAACTGACCTCACATGTCTCTTTTGTTTTCACGCGTGAACATTTCAGCTCAACATGGGAAAACAGCTATTTCACATGTGAAACAGCAAATTTCACGTGTTTTCTTTGTAAAGGAAGTAATAAAAATGGTATGGGGGTTTTAAAGTAAGTGGTTCCCTGTTCAGCTAAAATAGTGTACAAATCTTAAATAAATGACAATATGATTACATTAAACCTAGTTCTGACTCTTCAATAAAACCCCACCTGGGATTTGAACTCACAACTCCGGGGTTGAAGGTGCATTGATCTTTCTGCTGCACCACAAAGTCTGTAAGTCTGAGGCATTCTCAGAAGTCCCCTACACATTCATTACCTATAATACATCTCTGCAGTTAGCAAAATAGTTCCATCTGCACTGTTATTTTAGTTATTAATTAATCTGATTTTTCTCCCATCATTGATTTAATTGACTTATTTCAGCAATTTGAGGGTTTTCTGTATAGTTTGTCTAATGTTGGTGGGGCATATTATTCTGTTTAATGTTACTCCTGAATCACTATGATAAATATAATAGTTTTTCTTGAGTGTATTGCGCAAAGCTGAAGTCCAAAGTGTAGGAATAGAGGTGAAATCAGTCATTGACACAAACATGGTGTAGCGTTGCAGGAAGATCGGAATGCCGTGAACCAAGAGGTTGTGAGTTTATAATCCCAGGTGAGGACATGTTGAATAATAATTACTGTATAAATACACACACACAATATAATCATGTATGTCAAATATGTAAATTGAAAACACTGCGATTATTTTGTGACGTTCCAGGGACATCCTAACGAGTCATTTTTGTTTCCAGGATATCATCTGTAAAATCGAATGTGAAAAATATTAATATGTGAAAGGTTATGTGATCACATGTGAAATATCACCACATGGGAAGTGTTCCAAAACCACATGGTTTCACATGATTTCACATGTGAAATAAATTGTTACGTTCAAAACGTGGAAATTTCACGTGAAATCATTCTATAAGGGATGTGCTGGACAAAGCGATTTGAGATACATTATATACAAATACACATGAAACGTTAGTACATGAGCTTAGTTATGTCAAGTTTAGTTATGTCATGAGTTTAGTCAATGCCATCTGTGTCTAAGTGTCTGTAGTCTGTAATGTTTATTTGAAATTGTTAAATGTGCCCGTGTCATATTTGTGTTGATGTTTGTGTAAAATAAAAAAATAAAATAAAAAAAATAAATATATATATATATATATATATATATATACACTACCAGTCAAAAGTTTGGACAAACCTACTCATTCAAGGGTTTTTCTTTATTTTTACTATTTTTACCAAAAGTTTGAGATTTGAGATTCTTCAAAGTAGCCACCCTTTGCTTTGATGACCGCTTTCTTAAAAGTTAATTTGTGGAATTTCTTTCCTTAACTTTTAAGAAGGCACACCTGTTAATTGAAATGCATTCCAGGTGACTACCTCATGAAGCTGGTTGAGATAATGCCAAGAGTGGGCAAAGCTGTCATCAAGGCAAAGGGTGTATATTTGAAGAATCTCAAATATAACATATATTTTTATTTGTTTAACACTTTTTTGGTTACTACATGATTCCATATGTGTGTTATTTCATAGTTTTGATGTCTTCACTATTATTATACAATGTAGAAAATAGTAAAAATAAAGAAAAACCCTGGAATGAGTAGGTATGTCCAAACTTTTGACTGGTACTGTATATAAAAAAAAGGGAACTTACCTTTGACTACTTGAAGTCTGACTTCTGTATAGATGTCTTTCCCATATCTGCTCACCGCACACCAGTATGTCCCAGCGTGTTGTAGGGTTAGTTTAGTGACATTCACAGTGAAGACTCTTCTCTTTATGTCATCATACAGAGAAAAGCTGCCTTTCTTAGTGTGGTGAACTCCCCATTGAGTTTCAATGACAATATCAGAGTAGTAACAGCCCCTATTACAGAGGTACTTCTGGTAATTCTCGTACCCACGGCCATAGGAGCATCTGATCTCTGCTTCTCCTCCCTCATATCCTGATACCACAATCTCATCTGCAATAGATACGCTCCACAGAGCAGCTGGAGAGAGACCACAAGTTCACATCAGACACAGATCTGCCTGTTAGTTATTAGCTGCTTCAGCACAGAGAACAATTAGCTATAAGCAACAGCAAATCAAATGTGTTTAGCAACTGCGACGGTGTCCAGTGTTCTTTAAAGAAGCTTTATTTTATGTTCTGTAGATTCGATGATGAACTCACCAAAGAGGCTAAAGAACACTCTTCGAAGACTTGTCATGATGAACTGCTGTCCTCAGTTTGTCTAAAGTGACTTTATTAAGCTGCTGTGTCCTGTCTCTCACCAGTTTGGTATTTCAGAATGAATCCTACTTCCTCCTAGTGAGGATAGGTTACCTAGTATCAGTGTGTGTGTGTGTTATTCTATTCTCTCCTCTTCAGTGTTTCCTGTGTGTGTCGGCTAGTTTCTGTTGGGGGACACCAGCCCTGCAGATCACACATTGTTGTTCACGCTCATATAAGGCAAAGGGTGTATATATACACCCTTTGCCTTGATGACACATTGTTATAATAATTGTTTTTTAAATATACAAGTAGGAAGGCCTTAAAATAAATAATCCACTTCTTTAGAGAGAAACATTTAGATAATGTTTTAGTAAAGTTGTAATCTGTTGGATGAGTGTGTTGGGGGTAACCCCCCCCCCCCCCCCCCCACACTACTATGGGGTAACTGGCCCCTGGGTGCTAGTTACCCCTTTATGGTTATGAATGTGTTTCTACCTGTCATTCAGACAATGACTAGCCCAGTTAGCGCTAGTTTATACTAACTTACTAGCTAACAACTTCACTAGCAGTAAATGCTAGCCTGCTACCAAGTTAGCATAAGCTGCAAGGAATGCTAGCTAGCAACCTTACTACCAGATCGTCTGAGGTAAAATACATTAAAAAGATAACGTAACTTAATTGCAGTTGTAAATGTTTCCACTAGTGACTGATAGCTTTACAGTTAATGTTACTTTATAGCCTTTTAGCTATTTTACACAGCATTTTATGTCATTTTTACATTTTAGTCATTTAGCAGACGCTCTTATCCAGAGCGACTTACAGTTAGTGAGTGCATACATTATTATTTTTATATATATATATATATATTTTTTTTTACTGGCCCCCCGTGGGAATTGAACCCACAACCCTGGCGTTGCAAACGCCATGCTCAACCAACTGAGCTACATCCCTGCCGGCCATTCCCTCCCCTATCCTGGACGAATTGTGCGCCGCCCCATGGGTCTCCCGGTCGCGGCCGGCTACGACAGAGCCTGGATTCGAACCAGGATCTCTAGTGGCACAGCTAGCACTGCAATACAGTGCCTTAGACCACTGCGCCACTCGGGAGACCACTAATATAGCTAGATAGCTAGATAGCTACAGTTAAAGTCAGAAGTTTACATACACCTTAGCCAAATACATTTAAACTCAGTTTTTCAGAATTCCTGACATTTAATCCTAGTAAAAATGTCCTGTCTAAGGTCAGTTAGGATCACCACTTTATTTTAAGAATGTGAAATGTCAGAATAATAGTATAAATAATTATTTCAGCTTTTATTTATTTCATCACATTCCCAGTGGTTCAGAAGTTTACATACACTCAATTAGTATTTGGTAGCATTGCCTTTAAATTGTTTAACTTGGATCAAACGTTTCGGGTAGCCTTCCACAAGCTTCCCACAATACGTTGGGTGAATTTTGGCCCATTCCTCCTGACAGAGCTGGTGGAACTGTGTCAGGTTTGTAGGCCTCCTTGCTCGCACAAGCTTTTTCAGTTCTGCCCACAAATATTCTATAGGATTGAGGTCAGGGCTTTGTGATGGCCACTCCAATACCTTGACTTTGATGTCCTTAAGCCATTTTGCCACAATTTTGGAAGTATGCTTGGGGTCATTGTCCATTTGGAAGACCCATTTGCGACCAAGCTTTAACTTCTTGACCGATGTCTTTAGATGTTGCTTCAATATATCCACATAATTTTCCTTCCTCATGATGCCATCTATTTTGTGAAGTGCACCTGTCCCTCCTGCAGCAAAGCACCCCCACAGCATGATGCTGCCACCCCCCTGCGTCACGGTTGTGATGGTGTTCTTCGGCTTGCAACCTACCCCCTTTTTTCTCCAAACATAACGATGGTCATTATGGCCAAACAGCTCTATTTTTGTTTCATCAGACCAGAGGACATTTCTCCAAAAAGTACGATCTTTGTCCCCAGGTGCAGCTGCAAACCGTAGTCTGGCTTTTTTATGGCGGTTTTGGAGCAGTGGCTTCTTCCTTGCTGAGCGGCCTTTCAGGTTATGTCAATCTAGGACTCGTTTTACTGTGGATATAGATACTTTTGTACCTGTTTCCTCCAGCATCTTCACAAGGTCCTTTGCTGTTGTTCTGGGATTGATTTGCACTTTTCGCACCAAAGTACGTTAATCTCTAGGAGACAGAACGCGTCTCCTTCCTGAGCGGTATGACGGCTGCGTGGTCCCATGGTGTTTATACTTGCGTACTATTGTTTGTACAGATGAATGTGGTACCTTCAGGCGTTTGGAAATTGCTCCCAAGGATGAACCAGACTTGTGGAGGTCTACAATTATTTTTCTGAGGTCTTAGCTGATTTCTTTTGATTTTCCCATGATGTCAAGCAAAGAGGCACTGAGTTTGAAGGTGGGCCTTGAAATACATCCACAGGTACACCTCCAATTGACTCAAATGATGTCAATTAGCCTATCAGAAGCTTCTAAAGCCATGATATCATTTTCTGGAATTTTCCAAGCTGTTTAAAGGCACAATCAACTTAGTGTATGTAAACTTCTGACCCACTGGAATTGTGATACAGTGAATTATAAGTGAAATAATCAGTCGGTAAACAATTGTTGGAAAAATTACTTGTGTCATGCACAAAGTAGATGTCCTAACTGACTTGCCAAAACTGTAGTTTGTTAAAAATAAATTTGTGGAGTGGTTGAAAGACGAGTTTTAATGACTCCAACCTAAGTGTATGTAATCTTCCGATTTCAACTGTAGCTACGTTTTTAAGAGAGAGCTTTTCAAATGGCATCTTTCCCCGTTTTCAGTCACAGGTGGGAACTGGATTAGGTGTGAGCAGAGCAGCAGGTGGACTCATGAGTTGAGCTACAATTTTATTGGGGATAGCTTTATTTGTGACCTATGTACAAATTAGAATCGTGGAATAGCACAGCATAAGAGAGTTGCCACACCAATAGATCGATTGAGGTTTTACAGACGTGTTTAATAACGTTTTATGTACACACTTTATTAGAATACTTATGAAATGCACATTGTTATATTTGGTAACATGTTTATTTTCCTTCGACTCCAACCCCATTCGATGCATTGAACAGATGTAGGTGGAGCAATGTCTATATGTAGGTCCGGTGTAGCTCAGTTGGTAGAGCATGGCGTTTGCAACGCCAGGGTTGTGGGTTCGATTCCCACGGGGAGCCAGTATGAAAATGTATGCACTCACAAACTGTAAGTCGCTCTGGATAAGAGCGTCTGCTAAATTACTAAAATGTATATAAGGGTGCAAATTACAGAAGGTCTTGAGGCCGATACGTACAGCGTAATAAAGAGCAGTGATACTAGCAAGAAAGAGTGGGTTTATTATTTTTATCTCTCAAGAAATCCAATTCATGAATGAAAATCCTTTTTGAAAAATGTCACTTTTTAAGTCACATTGGAATTGACTGGATTGAAATGGAATTCACCCCGTGATTACACCCAAATGGTCCCAAGTAGCCCAACCCATCCTATATAATTTAATAAATTATATGTTAGGCTTATTCTGGCATGTGCAATACGCTATAATAAATTATATTAGGTCTAGTGAAAAGGCAAAAACTTGACTTATTTGTCAAATGTGAAGAAATCAACTGTGCATGAACAGGACAAGGATGCGATGCGCGCGTCCTTCAGAACCCATATTCTAACCAAATAGGCATAATTGCGGCGAACGTAATTGATGGAGACTGCGTACATGTTTTATTGGAGGATTGAAAAGACCATGGGGATGAGAATAGCCTATGGTTTATGTCGTTAGACTGGTGTGATAGTTTGCGGCACAGGGCATTGATCACCGCGGGGTGATTCACCTTCTCTGTGGGTCTCCATCAATATGCTCTCAGTTTGCGTCCGCTTGGTCCGCCTCCAGGCAGAGCGCGTACAACTCCATTCGAAGCAGCTACAGCCGCGCATGGTCGCCAATCTGTCCCGTTTATCGGTCACAGAATCCTTTTAGGCAGCCTTCACCGGAGGATAGCCTACATTTGGACAACGCAGTCCCTTCCGGATTTCAAATAACATTTTACCGGGTATTCTTTCAAGGAATGATTCTCTTTTTCTTTATTTAGGCCAACGTTTTCCTTGACAACTGGATATTTTTTTATTTCTTGAAACCCCTATGGCCAGTCTTTATATCAATGAAATGATACGTCTGCTGTGCGGACCTGCGCGTCATCGGTTACCTTGCTGGTTTTACAGGGCGTGGTATTCATGTAAGTATTTCATTTATCTCAACGTGGATTTATAAAATGTATATGGAAAAATTATTTATCAATATGTGGCAGGTTTTTACGGGTACATGGCAGGTCGTCCCGATTCACATTGTGGTGGGTGCAGAACGTCATGTGACGCAATTAATCCCTGAACGGCAGATGGATGGAATAGGTATTTGTGTTATTGAGCAGTGGCATAATATTTGTCGCAGCGTTTGCCCCATTAATTGGTGAGCATCACAGTTATCGATAACCTGCTTGTGTACCAGCTAGCTATACGTCAGTCTTGCTAATTATCCTTATTAGTAACATATACTTTTTTTTATATACAATAAGGTTTATCATAATAGCCTAATAATAATAATAATAATTAGTATTATTACATAATATTCATCAACTATGTTTGTTGTTAATCATATTTGAGTTTTACATCATATCAAATGCATATATGATTAGCCTACATATTGGCACTGCTTCATTTTAATGAATGCAAATGCATGCCGGTTATAATTGAACTCTTATGACCATGGCCCAAGAAAATATAGCTCATGGGTTTCTCCATGAAGTCAGCAATACCCACCAGTGTTTGTGTACAGTGGCTTGCAAAAGTATTCATCCCCCTTGGCGTTTTTCCTATTTTGTTGCCTTACAACCTGGAATTAAAAAAATGTTGGGGGGGGGGGGGGGGGGGGGGGGTTTGTATCACTTGATTTACACAACATGCCTACCACTTTGAAGATGCTAAATATTTTTTTTGTGAAACCAACAAGAAATAAGACAAAAAAACAGAAAACTTGAGCGTGCATAACCCCCCTTCTGCAGCAATTACAGTTGCAAGTTTCTATAAGCTTGGCACATCTAGCCACTGGGATTTTTGCCCATTCTTCAAGGCAAAACTGCTCCAGCACCTTCAAGTTGGATGGGTTCCGCTGGTGTACAGCAATCTTTAAGTCATACCACAGATTCTCAATTGGATTGAGGTCTGGGCTTTGACTAGGCCATTCCAAGACATTTAAATGTTTCCCCTTAAACCACTTGAGTGTTGCTTTAGCAGTATGCTTAGGGTCATTGTCCTGCTGGAAGGTGAACCTCCGTCCCAGTCTCAAATCTCTGGAAGACTGAAACAGGTTTCCCTCAAGAATTTCCCTGTATTTAGCGCCATCCATTATTCCTTCAATTCTGACCAGTTTCCCAGTCCCTGCCGATGAAAAACATCCCCACAGCATGATGCTGCCACCACCATGCTTCACTGTGGGGATGGTGTTCTCGGGGTGATGAGAGATGTTGGGTTTGCGCCAGACATAGCGTTTTCCTTGATGGCCAAAAAGCTCAATTTTAGTCTCATCTGACCAGAGTACCTTCTTCCATATGTTTGGGGAGTCTCCCACATGCCTTTTGGCGAACACCAAACGAGTTTGCTTATTTTTTTCTTTAAGCAATGGCTTTTTTCTGGCCACTCTTCCGTAAAGCCCAGCTCTGTGGAGTGTACGGCTTAAAGTGGTCCTATGGACAGATACTCCAATCTCCGCTGTGGAGCTTTGCCGCTCCTTCAGGGTTATCTTTGGTCTCTTTGTTGCCTCTCTGATTAATGCCCTCCTTGCCTGGTCTGTGAGATTTGGTGGGCGGCCCTCTCTTGGCAGGTTTGTTGTGGTGCCATATTCTTTCCATTTTTTAATAATGGATTTAATGGTGCTCCGTGGGATGTTCAAAGTTTCAGATATTTTTTTATAACCCAACCCTGATCTGTACTTCTCCACAACTTTGTCTCTGACCTGTTTGGAGAGCTCCTTGGTCTTCATGGTGCCACTTGCTTGGTGGTGCCCCTTGCTTAGTGGTGTTGCAGACTCTGGGGCCTTTCAGAACAGGTGTATATATACTGAGATCCTGTGACAGACCATGTGACACTTAGATTGCACACAGGCAGACTTTATTTAACTAATTATGTGACTTCTGAAGGTAATTGGTTGCACCAGATCTTATTTAGGGGCTTCATAGCAAAGGGGGTGAATACATATGCACGCACCACTTTTCCATTATTTATGTTTTTGCATTTTTTGAAACAAGTTCTTTTTTTCATTTCACTTCACCAATTTGGACTATTTTGTATGTCCATTACATGAAATCCAAATCCATTTTAAATTACAGGTTGTAATGCAACAAAATAGGAAAAACGCCAAGGGGGATGAATACTTTTGCAAGGTACTGTATGTCATTGAAATGGTCAGCCCTTATGTATGACCCAAACCTGGGCACTGTTGGAATACTTTAAAAAATGCATCCTTCCTTCCTCCCCTTTCTTGGAATATCTACTGACCTGACATTATTTGATCTGTAATAGATACTGTGCTTGTTTTGGCCAGGAGCTCAACCGAGCTGAGTACCGGCACCTCAAAATTTCTACTGCATTATAGAATATTATCTCAAAAGTATTGTGGAGCTCCTGCACCTAAATATAACCAGTACCGGCACCCACAATGAGTACCATAACTTATTTTTGTCCAAGTCAAACACTGAATAGATGTGTAGTGGAAGCACTACTTTATCCGATCTACACTGAACAGAAATATAAACTCAACATGTAAAGTGTTGGTCCCATGTTTCATGAGCTGAAATAAACGATCCCAGAAACTTTCCATAGACACAAAAAGCTTATTTCTCTCAATTTCTGTGCACAAATTTGTTTACATCCCTGTTAGTGAGCATTTCACATTTGCCAAGATAATCCATCCACCTGACAGGTGTGGCATATCAAGAAGATTAAACAGCATGATCATTACACAGGTGCATCTTGTGCTGGGGACAATAAAAGGCCACTGTAAAATGTGCAGTTTTGTCACACAACACAATGCCACAGATGTCTCAAGTTTTGAGGGAGCATGCAATTAGCATGCTGACTGCAGGAATGTCCAACAGAGCTGTTGCTGCCTCCAACGTCGTTTTAGAGAATTTGGCAGTATGTCCAACCGGCTTCACAACCGCAGACCACGTGTAACCACGCCAGCCCAGGACCTCCACAACCGGCTTCTTCACCTGCGGGATGTCTGAGACCAGCCACCCAGACAGCTGATGAAACTGAGGAGTATATCTGTCTGATTGGCTGGGCCTGCCTCCCCGGTGGATGGGCCTATGCCCTTCCAGGCCCACCCATGGCTGCGCCCCTGCCCATAGATTGAATTGATTTCAATTTATATGAACTGTAACTCAGTGAAATCGTTGAAATTGTTGCATGTTGCGTTTAAATTTGTGTTCAGTATAGTTGTGTTGGATCAGTACTTAGCCTATAGGCCTACTCTAAAGAAGAGAGGAAGAAAGTATGCATGTGTTTAATTTTCAAACAGGACCCTGCGATTTGTGTACTGGTGGACCAGTTATGCTAAACCTCTCTCTCATTATAGGCTAGACACTACAGGGGACACAGATCAAGTGTTGTACTGGAAAGACACGTGTGCCGGCAAGACGCCACCAATAACAATGTGCTGTACAGCAATCAAGACTGTTTCCTAAGCAGGCCTAAACAATAGTAGTTATCCAAAACACACATATAGAGAGAGTGTGAACTTGACTAAAGCCCCCCAAAATGACTCACTTGCAAGCGGGCCTGAGCTCCGAGACCACGGAGAAAGCTCGACAGGAGCTCAACGAGAACCCCGACACCCTCCACGCGGACATCCAGCAGGTGCGCGACATGATAGTGACGCGGCCAGACATCGGCTTCCTGCGCACGGACGACGACTTTATCCTGAGGTTTCTGCGGGCGCGCAAGTTTAACCAGGCAGAGACCTTCCGGCTCCTGGCCCAGTACTTTCAATTCCGCCAGCAGAACCTGGACATGTTCCAGAGCTTCAAGGTGGACGACCCAGGGATCAAGCGGGCGCTGATGGATGGCTTTCCAGGTGTCTTAGAAACACCGGATCAGCACGGCCGGAAGATACTCATCCTTTTCGCCTCCAACTGGGACCAGGGCAGGTGAGTGTACGGATATTTTAGTATGCACATTTGTCTCAATAAAATGGCTTCAGTGATTTCTCACTGAAATGGCTTCAGAGATGTCTCACTGAAATGGTTTCTGTGATCTAATTGTTTCATTAATCAAATAAGCAATTGTGCTGTAGCTACTGATTGGTACTGATTTGATAGAATACTTTCAAACATTTAATTTGGAACTAAATAGCAAAACTCACATGCACAGAAACTTTACTCCGGCCCTTGTCTGGACAATGTCATTGGTCAGACACACCAGAACGGACCCAGAACAAAAATCATTGAATTATTGTAATAATCTTGATACAGTACAGTGCTGGATTGTTCTGGATTTTATCCCAATCTGATGTCTCTTTCTCTCTCTCTGTGAAGGAACTCTTTCACAGACATCCTCCGGGCCATCCTCCTCTCCCTGGAGGTTCTCATAGAGAACCAGGAACTCCAGATCAACGGCTTCATCTTGATCATGGACTGGAGTAACTTCTCCTTCAAGCAGGCTTCCAAGCTCACGCCTAACATCCTCAAACTGGCAATCGAAGGCCTGCAGGTAGGCCTGACCAGGGATGTGTTCAGTAGGCATGAACAGGTAGGCCTGACCAGGGATGTGTTCAGTAGTTTGGTCCTCTGTAGCTCAATTGGTAGAGCATGGCGCTTGTAACGCCAGGGTAGTGGGTTCGATCCCCGGGACCACCCATACGTAAAAATGTATGCACACATGACTGTAAGTCGCTTTGGATAAAAGCGTCTGCGAAATGGCATATTATTATTAATATTATTATAGTTTACCCATGCAATATGTGGAGCCATCGCACCCCATATGGCCGATTCTACAGTCAACTTTTTTTATTGCATCATTTCATTGTCCTTCTTTATCAGTTCTAAGGACAGAGACAGATAGACAGCGTATCCTGCCTTGCAATGTAGCCTATATGACTACCAGTAAATAAAGATTTCTATACAATATGATGATGATCCTCATTTTAGACCTACATAACGATGGGATGTCCTGTTGCTAAGTAACAAGGTGAAGCACAATGGTTAGTGTATGCCCTGATTTTAAATGCTATGATAATCAGACACTGAATGATGTGGACACATTATATGGGCAGATCAACAAGCAGACAGTGGATATATCAGGGAATATATTAATTTGAAGTTAATTACAAATAGATAGTGAGCCCAAAAGTGTTGTGAAAACACCAAATGCTTATGGCTTATGAGGAAATTATTTAGCATTGGCCATGATACGTCTGAGATGTACAACCAATCTATTGTAGGAGTATACCACTTTACAGAAAACTTTTTTTTAATGCTTTCACAATATTAAATCCCGTGAGACGCATAATTGAATGACCCAGCCGCCTTGTTTTACATGGTTTTGTCACGGGGATTACATTGTTGGTCTTACACTGCAATCATTAAAGGTGTCAATTGCAAGGGTGAAAGGGACATGTCCAAACAATGCACTGTAGCAGTGCTGCACACTGTAGATGGCTAGCACAGTTTCAAACAGCAAGGAAAATCCTCATTATCAGCATCTATTTAAGCAATAAAGCATGAGAAAGCGGGGGATTATTGTGTGAAGGAGCAGCCTTTAGAAGGGTGTTATTCACAATAATTCCCGGGTTCTGGGGCTACTACTTTTGTAAAATGGTTGCCAACATATAAAAAAAGATTAACAACATGTTTTCATTAACAGCGTTATTTTAATGAGTTTTATTTAATCCTTCCACCATAAAATATAGTCTGGGCAAAAGTCAGTCGTTAGTTCTGATATTCTGAAGTTGCTAGCCAAACAGGCTGGTTGTCCATTCTTCCGTTCTAAGCAAAACAGGTTGCTATGAAGGCTAGCTACTTCTCCTTTGCTAGCTAGCCAACTAAAGCTAACACACAATCACATCAAGCAGCTGAAATGACAACAAACTAGGCTGTATGAATTTGGAAATAATTTCTAGATGCTTTTTTCCCAGGGGAGATGAAGTTTATGCCTGTCTGGGCTGTTGGAAAGTGGACGCGCATTGATAAATCAAATGGAACTATTAACATGCATTACCCAGGGATTGTGGTGAATAGCTCCCTGCTCTCAACCAATCAGCATCCAGGATACAAACAACCTGTTTTATAATAGAAACTCTGTCATGCTCTTGGCCTGCTTCCCTAGGTCCCTTTTGCTGCAGGGTACTGTACTGTTAGGTCAAAAACCTTTTCAATAATAGAATGAATGCCATTTCATTTAGCTATAACAATCGAGAAGACCGAGGAACTGGGTTAGCCTACCATTTAATACATTTTTTTTGTTATGCCATTGAATTTCTAAAGAATCTCTATTGCAACTAAAATAAAAGAGAGGGAGCAGAGTTTATGAAACAACATTTAGTAAAACATATAACTGTATTTGAGTATCTCAACCAATTTCCCCTTCCCTGCTTCACTACAGGACAGCTTCCCTGCTCGCTTCGGTGGGATCCATTTTGTGAACCAGCCCTGGTACATCCACGCCATGTACACCATTATCAAACCTTTCCTCAAGGACAAGACTAGGAAAAGGGTAATTGCCTTTTTCACTGCTTAGTCACCTTCTCTAACCCCTCCCCCCTTTTCCCATCCATCACTTTATAACTGCCTCAGTTGCAGTTCTATCGAGTGGTTACGCTCTGGCCTGCTAGAGGTACAACACTAATGAGCTGACGAAGCCAGATAAAGAGATGTCATTAAATGCCTTTGCTAGTTGAATAAAATGAAAGGTACCACAAAGGAGATGTATCATTTAGTACTTCAACCTTTCCTCAGGTTAGTGCAGGTTAGATCAATGGAAAAGCTAAAAGCTATTTTGTAATACAGCTTCCTTCAAAGATGACGCCGGTCAAACATGAAAAGGGAAAGTAAGATAACAGGAATTGTGGGAGTTCTGAAAATAGAGTCTGAAAACCTTCTTCCCATCAGATTTTCCTCCATGGAAACAACCTCAACAGTTTACACCAGCTAATTCTACCCGATTGTCTGCCGTCCGAGTTCGGCGGCACGCTGCCGCCATATGACATGGGCATCTGGGCACGGACCCTCTTAGGGCCCAACTACAACGACGAGACGGAGTACACACTCACCTACGACGCCCTCCACGTCAAAGAGAACTATGGTGGCGGAGACAAGGAATGTGCCGACAAACTTCTGAAAAGGTGAGCTACAAAAAAGGTGGCAAAATTCCAGTAATTATCAAACTGAAAAATATCTATGGGAATATATGGGATTTGTGGGAATTTACCGGAATGTTTGGACTATTCCCCTCCCTAGCTACAGTATAGTAGTGCAGAAAGCTAACAAAAAAGCTCAACAGAAAGTTAGAGAACACAAACGGCTTGCCTATGGAGCAGTGAGGGGAACGGCACCTCTGTACCTTCGGGCTCTGATCAGTCCCTACACCCAAACGAGGGCATTGCGTTCATCCACCTCTGGCCTGCTGGCTCCCCTTCCTCTGCGGAAGCATAGTTCCCGCTCAGCCCAGTCAAAACTGTTCGCTGCTCTGGCACCCCAATGGTGGAACAAGCTCCCTCACGACGCCAGGACAGCGGAGTCACTCACCACCTTCCGGAGGCATTTGAAACCCCACCTCTTTAAAGAATACCTGGGATAGGATAAAGTAATCCTTCTACCCCCCCCCCCCCCCCCAAATTGTAAAGTGGTTATCCCACTGGCTATAGGGTGAACGCACCAATTGGTGAGTCGCTCTGGATAAGAGCGTCTGCTAAATGACGTAATTGTGCCCTTGAGCAAGGCACTTAACCCTAATTGCTCCTGTAAGTCGCTCTGGATAAGAGCGTCTGCTAAATGACTAAAATGTAAATGTAAATGTAAATCCAGAGCGGTCATTCTTCTCCGATAGTATTGACAGCCGATTGTTTGAAGTCTGCCAGGGCAATTACGCAGTCCAAAGACTTTCAGATAATGACCGCTATGGGGCTGATCACTGACTAGTGTGAACCCTAAGAAATGCCTGTTTCAATACGAGATGGTCATTACGCTTGAGATTTGCCCACTGCTGTCTCCTAAACAGCTCACTCACTCAGAGACCCACTGCAGTTTTCCATTAATCCTCGCCCCCCAGCTAAAAAAAAGACTCCTCTCTGAAACACAAAAGGTTACACCAGAGCTATGTATAGGAGGTACTGTATATGGCTCTGGGTAACATTACTTTTAGGTTCAGAGCTTTTGGACAACGTACCCTTTTACAAGCTGAAAGCTTATCTATAAGACTGAACATGTATACAGTACTGTAGATGGATGCTCTGTCGAAAGCAATGGGAAAACAGAATGTCTTAGAGACAGAGAGAGAGAAGAGAGAGAAATCTAAAAACCTTCTCCACATAAACTGGCCGCATGCACGACTCTCTCCCATCTGCAATCAACAGAAAGCCATGTAGTATCAGGTCTTGGGAGAGCGGGCTCCTCTGAATTTTTTTAATTAAAAAAGCATATAAGAGACCCTCTTCCTGACCCCAGCTAGTGTCTGCTCCAATCCCAGGGTTCCCCAGTTTCATTCGCTTGCCACAATAACCCAGGAGACGACATCTGGAGGGGGCGGGGCGTGGATGGGAGGTTGGTGCAAAGAACATGAACCTGCTCCCGCTACATGGCCAAGCTGCAAAGTCAAAATTGACTATATCGTGAAAATGTATTAGCACGGAAATGAGCGTTTAGTTCTTAATTTAAGGTTGAGTTAGGGCGAGCCACATGGTTAGGGGTATGGTTGAGGTTAGGGTTTGTTTTAAAATCAGATTTGTTTGGAGAAGTTGTCATACGGCCGGCTTTGTAGCTTGGCCGGATAGTGACAACCGTTGATGAGGGATACTGGGAATGCTTGCCTGTTATTGGTCATCTGAGATTGCCATTAGTGCAGCCAGTCAACATAGTAGTTATGAGCAATGAGATGGCATGAGCCCATGGACGCAACGATCGGATGGATAAAACAGATTATTGAAGATTGGGTCGTTTGTGGGTTGGTTGAATACGCTTAGTGTTCTCTGATTAGATCAAGGAGGGCTTGTTAGTCTTTGATTGCTGCTGTTTTGCTCCAGTGTGGAGTAAGTAAGCCATGTTGCCTGTAGTCTTACAAGGCTGTGCAGCAGAAGGCCTGACAGATGTAACTGAGATTAAGGCTGCTAGTGAAGAACATCCTCCCAGAAACAAGATGGCAGAATAAACTCACCTCTTGGACTGTACTGACTAGTAGAATTTTGCTACAATTTGATTTGCAAAGCTCCAGATGTAAAGACCCTGCTATATAATCCAGTTCAATAGGTTAGCGACACCTGCTCTTTCCATGACATAGATTGACCAGGTGAATCCAGGTGAAAGCTGTGATCCGTTATTGTTAAATCCACTTCAGTCAGTGTAGATGAAGGGGAGGAGACCGGTTAAAGAAGGATTTGTAAGCCTTGAGACAATTGAGACATGGATTGTGTATGTGTGCCATTCAGAGGGTGAATAGACGAGACAAAATATTTAAGTGTCTTTCGAACAGGTTATGGTAGTAGGTACCAGGTGCACCAGTTTGAGTGTGTCAAGAACTGCAACGCTGCTGGGTTTTTCACGCTCAACAGTTTCCCTTGTGTATCAAGAATGGTCCACCACCCAAAGGACATCCAGCCAATTTGACACAACTGTGGGAAGCATTGGAGTCAACATGGGCAAGCATTCTTGTGGAATGCTTTCGGCACCTTGTAGAGTCCATGCCCCGACGAATTCAGGGATATTCGAAGGGCAAAAGGGGGTGCAATTCAATATTAGGAAGGTATTCCTAACGTTTTGTACACTGAGTGTACATGATCCGTGAAGCTCTATGTAGGTTTTATAAAGGATTATGGAGAGGCTTTATTAAGCTTTATAAGCTATACTTCTGCATTATGAGAGATAATGTGAATTGGGACCTTTCACTGTCATATAAGCGTTTCATTTTGAGAGTTGCATTCAACAATATGAGGCAAAATTGAAAACATTCAATTCAATGCTATATTCATCATCACGTTAAATCGGATAGATATTTAACAAAGCTTATTTTGGGATATCTAAATCTCAGTACTCTCAATGTGACTGTCCTTCCTTCCTTTAGCATTTACATTTTAGTCATTTAGCAGACGCTCTTATCCAGAGCGACTTAGTTAGTGAGTGCATACATTTTTCATACTTAGCAGAGAGAGTTCTGGGTAGGCTCCATTTTTATCGGCTGTTGATTTTAATCAGTGGGCTTACAAGGGGAGAGGAGAGGAGGGAGTGGAGAGGAGCGGAGCGCTAATCTCCCCCACTCGTGTTAAACAGCACGGAATCAGGGATTTAGTCTTAGCCCCATTGGATTGCCCTCCTCAGCTTGGTCGTTGAGCTCATCTTTAATGGACCAGTCATAACCTAGCATGCTATAAGTACTTCCTGGTAGCTAAAAGAGACAAGAACACAGAGGCTTTGTGATGATGACGCATGGAAATGAGGGTAGATAAGAGCACAAGGAGGAGGAGTGTTTAGGGACGAGGGGTATTGCGTCATGTATTTTACCATTGGCAGTCATGTGTTTTTAGGATATAAAAACAAGTGTGCTATTTTCCTAATCTGGATTTTCCCCCAAAATGGTTGGTTTTCAGTTTGTGTTCAGACATTATAAGGGGGGTGATCCAAACTTAGTCTTACAATGTATTATAATCACATCGTAATGCATCATAACCCCAGATACAGTACGTCTACAGTTCTCTCTTTGATCTCTATTACCCTGGTCCCTGCTGGACTTTCTCCATTATACTGCTGATAGTAGTCCATCTGTGTCTTACAGGAAATGACCATCTCTTACTGTTGTTGTTGTTTATCTCAGGTCCCAGTCAGCCGTGGAGCCGGGTACCCTACGGCAAGCAGACAGGGAGAACACGGCACAGCCACTCCTGGCTCTGGACTGATCTCTCCCTTCCGCCCACACTGGATCGAAACCCCTCTCATTAGGATTCCAACCCCACTGACTCCAAAACCTAAAGCTGAACTTTGAGAAAGTATCAAACTAACTCTAAACCATTGTTCACATGGAGCTGCTGTACTGAAAACCTCTCATCTCTCGACTTTGAGCCAGTGGCAGTTTCAGCTGTGCCATCCACTTTCACAGGCAAACCGATCTGTCACCAGCCATCCAAATCAATGCCGATAGGAGTAGAATGATTAAACGAATGTCAGTGTTACCAGTACCACTAGGAGGGACTGACTGACAAGAGTTAAATGTCAAAAAGTCCAGAGAACGCCAAACTGTATCTTACTGTTTTAGGGGCTGTCGTTACTATGAAAGTCAATATATTTCAAGATTGTATATTTATCAGGGCTACTGCACCATCGAACTGCAATGTATTTAAAGTAATCTTTAAAAGAATGTATAGAAAATGCATTTTCAGTTGTGTGCTAATTACGTGTGTGAATGTTCAGGTTGTCATTGAAAATCACACAAATGAGTAGAATTTCAAATGAGACGAATCAGTGTTACAATATACAAATGAAGCTACCTATGTAATTAATTAAAACTACACAAAATTCTGATCACTTGACACCATTTTGACCAAATGTTTAATTTACTGAAAAATAGCTTTACAATCATTCAGTGCAACTAATTACAACACACAAAATATAATTGAAAGAAACATTACTTACTTGGAAGGCCAGTTACAACAGTTGGAACAGCTCAGTGATATTAACACCATAAAAGTATTAACTTCATATCTAAGATGAGTGATAGCAATTCATAAGAGTACCATAAAAGGTGAAAACTCAAACGATGTGGCTTTGTGAAGGTGCTTGATTTGTTACCCTTGTAACTAAGGAAATCATTTGAAGCATGGAGGAGATAACTTGAGTGTCATCGTCACAACCCAAACTGATAACCACAAATACCCCAAGACACATTTACATTTACATTTTAGTCATTTAGCAGACGCTCTTATCCAGAGCGACTTACAGTACCAATGTCCATGAGACACAACCACAATGTTGAAAGGCAATTCAATGAGCCTAAGGGTTCGACATGGCATTATGATGTATTGACATGCTCCTCTGAAGTAGGGAAGTTGAGGGTAAAATGATGTTACCCAAGTTTCCCACTCGTAGTTCCCACTTGGAAGTTCATTATGAACGGTTTTGGACATCTGAATCTCGTATTGTGACGAGTCCCTGGGATTGCCAAGAATTTGTCAGATATATAATGTTTTATTGTCTCACAGGTGCATTTCATTGCTCCAATGAAGCTGACTACCATTGCCCATAGAGAGTGATTAAATAACATATCTAGAAGAATATGCTTTGGCACTTTTCTTTTGAATATCAACAACATTGGTTAGGCAAAGACCCTCTAATCAGCTCTGCTATACATGGAATGGAGCAGATCTGGGTCCAATACTTTCAAATACTCAAGTATAGTCTATGCTTGATTTAGCTTGGGGTTCTCCTTTTAGGGACTATTCCATTGGTTCCATTGTACAAGGCAAACTAAATTAAGAGCAGATGAAGTATTTGACATGTATTTGACCCAGGTAAGAATGCAGTGTGACAAGACTGGTGTACATTTAACATGCTCCTGCCGAAGTTTTACACAGGGAAATTGTAATTTTATAAAACATTAAAATGTTATGCATCTACAAAATACATGCCTTCAGTCACGTGTTCATATGACACATTTAATAATGTAAATTCACACATTTGGCAGGATTTTAAATGACAAAGACAAGCCTGTTGAGTAGAATGGTTTGTGTGCGCTCCCAGGTCAAGGTGCAGTTGAAAATAGCGTATATTGTTAGCGTACAAAAATAAGATGTGTCAGTCAAGGTTTTCTTGGCAATATTAATTCTGCAATAAAAACATATTCTTGGCATTGTGAAGTCCCATTCATTGATCTAAAGTGACATGCGAAAATCCTACAAGTGAAATGGAATGGCCTAATAAGTACTGTGTCTGTATTTTACAATAGTTTTTCTCCCAAAATACAGTAAGAGGCAGGTTACTGTATAAAGCCATGGATGTTACAGGAAGTATATTCACAAATTACGTGTTAGAGAAACAACAGATTTAGGTTCCCACTTTTCAGCTAGTAGAGGTTTAGCTAGCTTAGCAACATCTTAAAAGGATAGTTTTCTGTGTTTTAACCCATATCATTTACTTACCTCAAAAGTAATCAACTACATTTTCTTGAGGTAAGAAATGAATTATCCCTTTAAAGTATCAGTAAGTGTCCAACAGTAAACTCGCAAACTGCAATAGTACAGCTTTGTGAAGTTCATGTAGGTACTGTATGTTTCAGACATATAGCACTTTGGTTCCCTAATGAAAAACAAGAATGCACTTGTGAAAAATTTACAACACAACCTACATGATATTCAACCCACACCTTACCGTTCTTATAAATTCATATTTATGCCTAAAAACCTACTTGGTGAGTACCACAGTTAGCAGTCAGTGTTCCCAAGGGTCGTTGTAAGGCTTTTTCCAATCTGAGAGGGCCTTTAGTAACTCTTCAAGATGGAGCCAAAATGGCGCCCTGGACTGAGCAAAGGCAAGTGTCACATTTGTCACGTTTGACCTAAAATGGCTGGCTGTGGGGTCAATACTTGTGAGGGAATGGGTTGACAGATACCTTGGACCCTTCTGTTCTCATGGGTTAAGCGTGTTAACCCCAGCACTCGAGTAGGCGACAGTCTGTCTGCACATCTGTCTGCCTGTCTGACAGTCTGTCGGACAGTCTAAATGGGGGAGAGAGTCTGCCGTTGGTACTGGGTGAGCTCGGGGTGCCACACGTCCACGATGAAGATGAGCCGGTAGCTGTCGGCGTCCTGCCACACCTCATGCTCAAAGGAATCATCAAAGATGAGCACTTTCCCCTCCTCCCAAGCCCTGGAAGAGAACAGAACAAACCATAGCCTTTCTATTAATGAAGCCACATGGATGAGTTTATAAACCCAACAGCAGCTCCTCCAGTTAGTTTGGTATAAAGCTGAGAGGGATGGGGCTGGGGAAATGCAATCACTCAAATTCATAGGTGGAGCTATGGATGCAAGAACTTACAGTCCACAAGATCGACAAGATAACGTTAAAGATATTTTGCAACAATACTTAGTCTTGAGTGATATTAAGTACTGAGCACTCAAATGATAAGTCTCACACTGTACCAAAAACTAACAAGTGCGTGATGTTATTAGATGTAAAAAGGCATGACGTTGATAGCTGTGGAAGGTGTTACCTGGTGTCGTTAGTGCACCTGATCTTGCAGCCCGTCTTGGGGACGACCAGGCCCAGGTGCATGCGCAGGCGACAGTTGGTGGGCCCCGTGTGAGGCCAGACATGAGTACCAGACTGCATCACCGAGAACTTGATCTGGAACCCAGGGAGACAGAGACAGAGAGAGACAGAGAGAGACAAGAGACAGAGACACAGAGAGAGACAGAGACAGAGACACAGAGAGAGAGAGAGACACACAGAGAGAGAGAGAGAGAGATACAGAGAAAGAGAGAGAGAACAGAGACAGAGAGAACAGAGACAGAGAACAGAGACAGACAGAGAGGCGGTCATACACCCAGAGAAAGTGAACACAGCTGAAATTAAAGTATTTAAATGAAGTACGTAAAAAAAAAAGAATTCAGACAATTTATATTTGTTTTTGAAGCAACCTATTAGCTCAAAGGCACATTGGCCAGCCACATACAAAAAACACAAACATTTCCTATTTTTGCAACAGAAATTGAAAGAAATTGCAGTGAGTGCAGCATAGTGCCTTTGTAACTCCATCCATCTCCAGTAGGAGCCTGCAGGGCCAGACTGTCTCTCCATCTATCCTCCCCTGCTCTACAGCAGTGCTGGTTGCCTAATAGTTGGCATGTCAGTCCCGTCTGTGGCGGGGTGACCTACCTGTCCTCTCTTGCAGCCCGTAGCCTCCGGGTAGCGCTCCAACAGGCCACAGGTCTTTGGAACACTGCGGCACGACTCCCCTGCCTTCTTGCCTGCATGACCAGGAGGACAGAGAAACAAGGAATTAGAGGCCAGGTTCAGACACCACTAACCCCTAATCCTAAAGCACTTGTGGGGAGTTTTTCAGTCTATTTGTAACATAGGAAGTTGCCAGGTGTTTGATTGGTTTACCTTGCTGCCAGAGGGTAAACTGACCCCACTCCCCTTTTTCTCTGAGGTTCTCCTCCTCTGGAACAAAGAGGCCGGTGGTTTTATCCATCACTGACAGGGCCTCGTCCCTGATGGTCCTCCAGTTCCTCTCCAGGGTCTGTCCCGTTGACATAGAGACACGTTATTATATTTCTATGGTCTGCCCCTGGCACAGCAAAGGGGATACATGGTCAGAGACTGCTTTACGCCAGTTCAAAACTCAAACGAAGAAGAAAACGATTTTAAAAAAGCAGGCAGCCCATGTTCAATCAATCAATCAAATGTATTTTATAAAACCCTTTTTAAGCAGTTGTCAAAGTGCTATACAGATAACCAACCTTAAATCCCAAACAGCAAGCAATGCAGATGCAGAAGCACAGTGGCTAGCAAAAACTCCCTAAAAAGGCAGGAACCTAGGAAGAAACCTAGAGAGGAACCAGGCTCCGAGGGGTGGCCAGTCCTCTTCTGGCTGTGCCAGGTGGAGATTATAAGAGTGCATTAAGGCCAGATCGTTCTTCAGCTGTCCCTGCCCACGCTGTCACAGAAGTGATCAATGGAATAGAGAGGAAGTACTCCCTCTAGACTTTATTGAACTCCGTCACATTGATCAATCAACTATCAGGGAGAAAAGGCAACCAGCTGAGACATTATCATGTCTATCATAATTATCATCATTTACAGTACCTTGACTAGATCCATATAGCCAGTGTCCTTGGGCGTCCACCACGGCTGGGCTTTGAGACCGTCCACATTGTAGAGAGATCGCTGCCATACGGAGGCAAAGTGACCTCTTTGGTGCCCTATCTCATACCATTTGTAGGCCTGGAAGAGTATTCCAAAACCAACACATTTTAACTCACATACAGTATTTTCAAATGCTCTGTTTTTGTCTTATTGTCAGAAGAAAAATACTATTACGAGAAGCCATACTGCTACAATACTCAGTGAAGTTACTATCTAGTGAATACTGCTGGTGCTGAGTCAGTATTGCTGTAAGCTTGGTGTCTGAGTTTGATCTTAACTCACACTGTCATCTCCCATTCTCTGTAAAGCGTCTCCGAGGTGGAAGTAAAACCTGCCGTCGTCTGTGCCAGGGTCTCCTGATTCCAAACCATCCTGCAGTGCAGAGAGAGGGGTTTCAGTGCAGAGAGAGGGGGTTTCAGTGCAGAGACAGGGGTGTCGGTACAGAGACAGGGGGTTCAGTAAAGAGAGAGGGGGGTTCAGTGCAGAGAGAGAGGGGTTCAGTGCAGAGAGAGAGGGGTTCAGTGCAGAGAGAGAGGGGTTCAGTGCAGAGAGAGGGGTTTCGGTGCAGAGAGAGGGGTTTCGGCGCAGAGAGAGGGGTTTCGGTGCAGAGAGAAGGGGTTCAGGATCAAAAGAGTGGTTTGAATCTGTGTGAGCATGATTGATTTATTATTTATTATACACACAGTACTTACCCTGAGGAATGGGATGCTCTCTGCTATCTTGTTTTCTGATTTGAGGATGAAGCCGTAATGGACTTTAGCAAAGCCGTCACTTGGTGCAATGGCCAACACCTACCGGGGGATAACATCATTAGAAATCATCAATTGTTAATCAAACAATCAATCATGACACTCATTGAAACTTCCCTACTGAAAATGGCCACATTCCATTTACAAATTACGACCACATTTAAATTGCAACACAATAGCGATACATTTTTAACACATTGTTTCACCAATGTGGTGACGACTTTGGCTCACCTCCTCGTAGACCCTCTTGGCGCTCTTGTTGTCTCCGATGAGCAGATGGGCCACGCCCAGATCGTTCTTCAGGGCCACGTCCTCAGGGAAGATCTGTACCAGTTTCTCCAACGTGACCAAGGCACCCCTCATACGACCTACACCAGAGAGAGAGAGGAAGTCACCCTATGTACAACCAGACTCCCCAGTAATCTCAATTATACTAAATATTCCAAAATACTGGAGATATAAAAAAGATATACTCAATTAAATCTCATTGAGAAGGACAACCACTACAACCCCTTTCCCAAATGGTATTCAAACTAAGTACGCAGGAGAAATGGACAGTATAATATTCTCTCTCCCTTCAAAAATATGTGTTTGTGTGTGTGTGTGTGTGTGTGTGTGTGTGTTTGTGTGTGTGTGTTTGTGTGTGTGTTTGTGTGTGTGTGTGTGTGTGTGTGTGTTTGTGTGTGTGTGGTCACTCCAGTATGCTGGGCCCTGTGCGTTACCTAGGAACTGCTGACGCTCAGCCCGTTTCTTCAATGTGGCCTTGATGAGGTCAGGCGTGGCGTTGGGCAGCTCTGACGCCTCCTTGTATGTGCCGATGGCCTTCTGCAGCATGTCGTTGCTGAGCATCTTCTCTGCCAGATCATCCTCAGCCTGGACACACACAATGAGCCCCAGAACATTTCAAGCCTTTTCCCTATTTGTACATGGGTGCAATTTGTTTATGCTCATAGTATACAGTAGTGTAAACACTAAGTGTTAAAAATGTTAAAGGGTTACAATTTGTTTAACCAGTTCAATATAAACCAGGAAAATTGAGACAGTCGTTCTCACCAGAGCTTTCCCATAGCGACACCTGGGACTCTGGGGGTACTGCAGAACTAGATTTTCAAAAGCCCGGACAGCCTCCTCCACTTTCCCCTGGGTGGTGAAACAAGACAACAACAGATCAGCATTGATTCAGCCATTTACTTTCAAGATACATGTTCATTAAAAACCTCACACAGGCTTATAAAGAGGACAACATCAGACCTTTTTTACTTACCTTTTTACGTAACTTCTCAGCAGCGTCAATCTCCGTCTTGATTGTTTTCTCAAATTTATTCAGGAGTTTGGGCTTCTTCTTTTTAGCTGAAACGAAGAACAGAACCTCAGTGAGGGATTGGTTGGATCACTCAAAGCGCGTGTGGCTGCAATCTCAGCATGTGGCTACTGTATGCAGTTTCTCAGTGAAAATGGCAGAGCACACTGTAATCTCAGTTATGTTCTACTCTAAAGTCACTTCCTGATGCGTCACTCATTGTGACTGAGTGGGTCGTTTCAAGACATTTCAATGACATCAGTATTCACAGTTAAAAGCTTGACACAGCAACATCATTGGCAGGGCTAGGTGGGAGGCCATTAATGCCGACTGAGGACAATAACTACAATACTACGGTGCGGGGGTGGCCAACCCTCCTGGAGAGCTTCTGAGTGTACAGGATTTTGCTCCAGCCCTACACTTACACACCTGATTCAGTAAATCAAGGTCTCGGGGGAGGATAATTAGTAGGTGTGTCAGAGTAGGGCTGGGAAAAAAAACCCTGCGGCAGGGTAGCTCTCCAGGAGGGTCGGCCACCCCTTGCTATCCTGCTTCTATAAAGCTTGTGTTCGCCATAAAAATAAGGATTAAAAGAAACAATGACCTTTTTCTTTAAGCTTATCCTTGGGTTGGACCTCAGCATTTTCTGAAAGACATACAAAAGGGAAGAAAATGACAGCTAGACTAATGCTATGAATGCTATCAACATACTGAATAACGCTTTTCAGATCCATGTAACTAAAGCACGGTCTAAAAAACATTACAAGATTTTCCATAGTGCTTTTAAAGGAAGACACATTTAAGCCCCAAGAACAGATCTGGTTTAAAAAGCATAATGATTTTCTTGGAAAAAACAAAGGTTTATATAAAGGATTCTATTGAGAATGGTGTCCACCAATTCAGTAAAGAAAATAATAACGCCAACAGCAGCAAACCAATAATTTATATACAGTATAAACTAGATGACTGTGCTGAAGCCACCGTGCTTCCATCTTGGCACTCCCCTACCATTAAATGCATTTGTCTACATTGGTTTTTGCCATGTTTATTCTATTACAGATACCTAATGCATACTTTTAAATTATATGAGCTAAACATAAAAAAACTATATTTATAAAAAATATATTAAAACATTTTCCTCAAAGTATAATTTTTAGAAAGTTCTAATGTTACTGTCCCCATTTCAACAACAAAAAGACAGTCATTTTGTCCTTGAATCATTCAATAGAAATATTGTAGAATTCCATTCATTCTGGAGGACTGCTTCCTCTGGGGAGGACCAATATGGCTGAACAGTGGCTTCAAAGCCTCTCACTGACCAATACATAGCATTTACAACCCAGGGTTTACAAACACTCTGCAATAATAGACACTTGACATTGTAGAGGTCTGCTTTTTTCATGATGTATATTGACTGCTCATATTATACAAATCTCACAGATTACAATAAAACTGACAAGGCCTGATGAAAATGGCACGCAACCAGGAATAAACTGAAGAATTCATTTTAAATTGTGACATGAGCTGACATTTCTCAGCAGTGATGTAAGGTGATTATGTCACAATTGACTAGGCTTATTGGATACAGGCCATAGGCAAGGGATCTGGGGGGCTTTTCAAAGTGCACCCCACACTTCAACTTCAGACCAGTGTTTTTCCTTCTGCTGTATGTGGTCCTCTGTAGCTCAATGTGGTCCTCTGTAGCTCAATTGGTAGAGCATGGCACTTGTAACGCCAGGGTAGTAGGTTCGATCCCCGGGACCACCCATACGTAAAAATGTATGCACACATAACTAAGTCGCTTTGGATAAAAGCGTCTGCTAAATGGCATATTATATTATTATTATTAAAAATTACTGTATAGGCAGTGTTCCTCCCACCACAACATTGTCCTTGCAGTTCATGACCACAAGAGGATGCTGATGGGCCAGTATATCAGTCAAGGCTTATTAGGAGGAACTGAGTGACTTTGATACCTAGTCATGTAGTGATGCACGTCTATTGAACATCTTACTCCACTGTTAAGAGCCAACTCATGTGTCAACTAGTGGCAAAAAGTTCTACTACTTCCCGCAGCTATGGGAACCACCCAAAAAAGTATCCAGCACAAACTCGCACAGCACAACCCTCAACATGCAGGTGAAGCCCTCCATAGAAAGGACAGTTACATAAGTGCCTTTGAGGTGGCCTTGAATGACTGGAAGCACTGGGATATGCCAACGGGGGCTATAATTACATACACGCTGCATTGAGCCCCCCGCCATGTCAAGCAAGCCTGCCTGTCAACTGCAGCTGTAGACGGCTGATCCGAGGTCAATAATGCAACTCTACTCTATACAATAACCTGGCCTGCATTAGAGTCCCTATTATAGTCACGTTATTTGACTGCCAACATTAACATATTTATTATTCAAATTAGCTTTAGCTGTTGACATACAATGTATTTATGCGTGTTCAAATGTTTACTGTGAATAAAGCATAAACGTGTGTGTTGTTGGTGTGCCCACGTTCTGAATCTCCCTCTGGTGTTTTGTCCTCTATCCACCACTGGCTCCTCTGCTACAATCCACATGCACAGGTTAGCAGGTACAGTGCAGTTAAAGTAGGAAATCAACACTATTCAATGGTAGACACAGGAGCTCTAAGTGAGAATGTTCCTTTAAAAAGCAATGGTTTGAGACTATGGCACAAGACGTGTTATACTCCTAACCTTTCAGTTCTGGGACTGATTCAGCTTCCAGTTCCGGAACAGATTCCACCTCTGGTTCCACGTCAGCCTCCGGTTCTGGGACTGATTCAGCCTCTGCATTGTATCGCAATTGTACTAAAGATTAGATTTCAGTGCCCTTTGTAAGATTGGGGACTTATCTAAGATATCACATTGGTGTGTGTTGTGTGTTGTGTGCATCAGCAACCCACCTGCTTCCTGTGCCTCCTGGGAACCTGACTGGTCATTGTACTGCTCTGACTCTTCTGCAAGACAAGCAAATAAACACTTCATAAATACACAGACCCTTCACAGACCCTTCACAGACCCTTCACAACGTCTAACTATTCACAGACCCTTCACAACGTCTAACTATTCACAGACCCTTCACCACGTCTAACTATTCACAGACCCTTCACAACGTCTAACTATTCACAGACCCTTCACAACGTCTAACTATTCACAGACCCTTCACAACGTCTAACTATTCACAGACCCTTCACAACGTCTAACTATTCACAGACCCTTCACAACGTCTAACTATTCACAGACCCTTCACAACGTCTAACTATTCACAGACCCTTCACAACGTCTAACTATTCACAGACCCTTCACAACGTCTAATAAAACACACTATCACCAATGGTCATACTGAAACGTTTAAATGTAGAATCGGTACTGTAGCTTACCTTCTGTCTGCTGTGGCTGTGCCTTCTCAACCAATTCTGAAAATTTACATCCACAGTTTATTTAGTGCAAAACGTTCTGCTTAGTGTTCAGTGCAAGGTCACAGTTAAGACCAGTTAACCAAGGAGAAGGCAGGGAAGGAGAAAGTAGAAGAGTCTATTTGGCCAATGAATAACAAAAACATTCTGAATATCTCACCTCCTTTTGTGTCAATGGCATCGTTTTCACCCTCTAAAAAAGAAATGCAAAACAGACTCATGTAAGTATGAATGACTTAAAAGACACATTGTAAAACAAATCGAAGACATACTAACCATAAGGATGTGTTGCTTCATCTCTACTATCATCTAAAAAAGAGAGACAGGACAGATCATTAAAAAACTTTAACAATCATGCTAAAACACACAGCAGCCTATAAGGGTACTGGCATGATAAGTAGTAGGAATGTAATGACTCTCGATTCAAATGTTTAAGATGCAACTAAATCGGTCTGCTAACCCCAAACCGATCCAAATGTAGCATGGATCGGTCAGAAAATCAACTCAAACGTTCTGAATCGCGATCAACTAAAATGTTTTGCTTATATTACTTTCTTTCTACCTTCCGAAAATACCTATTGTTTTGTGACAACTGATGCATCCTCTCCTTCAATGTCGAACTAAGCATGTAACTGTGTTGATCTACAAGTCATTTTGCATACTAGGCCAGGGTTCCACAATTGGCGGCCTGTGGTTTTATTTGGTCCCTCAAGTTTCGGAGCAAAAAATAATAATAATGATATACAGTACCAGTCAAAAGTTTGGACACACCAACTCATTCAAGGGTTTTTCTTTGTTTTTACTATTTTCTACATTGTAGAATAATAGTGAAGACCTCAAAACTATGAAATAACACATATGGAATCATGTAGTAACCAAAAAAGTGTTAAACTATGTGTTAAACTATATAAATATATAAATATTTTATATTTGAGATTCTTCAAAGTAGCCACCCTTTGCCTTGAACACAGCTTTTCACACTCTTGGCATTCTCTCAACCAGCTTCATGAGGTAGTCACCTGGAATGCTTGAAGGAGTTCCCACATATGCTGAGCACTTGTTGGCTGCTTTTCCTTCACTCTGCGGTCCAACTCATCCCAAACCATCTCAATTCGGTTGAGGTCGGGTGATTGTGGAGGCCAGGTCATCTGATGCAGCACTCATCACTCTCCTTCTTGGTCAAATAGCCCTTACACAGCCTGGAGGTGTGTTTTGGGTCATTGTCCTTTTGAAAAACAAATGATAGTCCCACTAAGCGCAAACCAGATGGGATGGCGTATTGCTGCAGAATGCTGTGGTAGCCATGCTGGTTAAGTGTGCCTTGAAATCTAAATAAAATCACAGACAGTGTCACCAGCAAAGCACCCCCACATCTCCTCTTCCATGCTTCACGGTGGGAACCAGACTTGCAGAGATCATCCGTTCACCTACTCTGCGTCTCACAAAGACACGCCGGTTGAGTCTCAAATTTGGACTCATCAGACAAAAGGACACATTTCCACCGGTCTAATGTCCATTGCTCGTGTTTCTTGGCTCAAGCAAGTCTCTTCTTCTTATTGGTGTCCTTTAGTAGTGGTTTCTTTGCAGCAATTCGACCATGAAGGCCTGATTCATGCAGTTTCCTTTGAACAGTTGATGTTGAGATGTGTCTGTTACTTGAACTCTGTGAAGCATTTATTTGGGCTGCAATCTGAGGTGCAGTTAATTGCCGATTTCTGAGGGAACTAGTGAACTTATCCTCTGCAGCAGAGGTAACTCTGGGTCTTCCTTTCCTGTGGCGGTCCTCATGAGAGCCAGTTTCATGCTTTAAAAGTGCTTTCCTCTCCATCTTAAATAAGCATGCCCCATTCAAAAAATTCAGAACTAAGAACAGATATAGCCCCTGGTTCACCCCAGACTTGACTGCCCTTGACCAGCACAAAAACATCCTGTGGCGTACTGCATTAGCATCGAACAGCCCCCGCGATATGCAACTTTTCAGGGAAGTCAGGAACTAATATACACAATCAGTTAGGAAAGCAAAGGCTAGCTTTTTCAAACAGAAATTTGCATCCTGTAGCACTAACTCCAAAAAGTATTGGGACACTGAAGTCCATGAAGAATAAGAGCACCTCCTCCCAGCTGCCCACTACACTGAGGCTAGGAAACACTGTCAACACCAATAAATCTACAATAATCGAGAATTTCAACCACCATTTTGCTACGGCTGGCCATGCTTTCCACCTGGCTACCCCTACCCCGGCCACCAGCTCTGCACCCTCCGCTGCCACTTGCCCATGCCCCCCCCCGCTTCTCCTTCACCCAAATTCAGACAGCTGATGTTCTGAAAGAGCTGCAAAATCTGGACCCCTACAAATCAGCTGGGCTAGACAATCTGGACCCTTTCTTTCTAATATTAGCCGCCGAAATTGTCACAACCCCTATTACTAGCCTGTTCAACCTCTCTTTCGTATCGTCTGAGATCCCCAGAGATTGGAAAGCTGCCACGGTCATCCCCCTCTTCAAAGGGGGTGACACTCTAGATTCAAACTGTTACAGACCGATATCCATCCTGCCCTGCCTTTCGAAAGTATTTGAAAGCCAAGTTAACAAACAGATCACCGACCATTTCGAATCCCACCGTACCTTCTCCGCTATGCAATCTGGTTTCCGAGCTGGTCATGGGTGCACCTCAGCCACGCTCAAGTTCCTAAACGATATTATAACCGCGATCGATAAAAGACAGTACTGTGCAGCCGTCTTCATCGACCTGGCCAAGGCTTTCGACTCTGTCAATCACCGCATTCTTATTGGCAGACTAAATAGCCTAGGTTTCTCAAATGACTGCCTCGCCTGGTTCACCAACTACTTCTCAGATAGAGTTCAATGTGTCAAATCGGAGGGCCTGTTGTCTGGACCTCTGGCAGTCTCTATGGGGGTGCCACAGGGTTCAATTCTCGGGCCGACTTTATTCTCTGTGTATATCAATGATGTCACTCTTGCTGTTGGTGACTCTCAGATCCACCTCTACGCAGACGACACCATTTTGTATACATCTGGCCCTTCATTGGACACTGTGTTAACAAACCTCCAAACGAGCTTCAATGCCATACAACACTCCATCCGTAGCCTCCAACTGCTCTTAAACGCTAGTAAAACTAAATGCATGCTCTTCAATCGAACGCTGCTTGCACCCGCCCGCCCGACTAGAATCACTACTCTCGGCGGGTCTGACTTAGAATATGTGGACAACTACAAATACCTAGGTGTCTGGTTAGACTGTAAACTCTCCTTCCAGTCTCACATTAAGCATCTCCAATCCAAAGATAAATCTAGAATCGGCTTCCTATTTTGCAACAAAGCCTCCGTCACTCATGCTGCCAAACATGCCCTCGTAAAACTGACTATCCTACCGATCCTTGACTTTGGCGATGTCATTTACAAAATAGCCTCCAACACTCTACTCAGCAAATTGGATGTAGTTTATCACAGTGCCATCCCTTTTGTCACCAAAGCCCCATATACTACCCACCATTGTGACCTGTACACTCTGGTTGGCTGGCCCTCACTACATATTCGTCGCCAAATCCACTGGCTCCAGGTCATCTATAAATCACTGCTAGGCAAATCCCTGCCTTATCTTAGCTCATTGGTCACCATAGCAACACCCACCCGTAGTATGCGCTCCAGCAGGTATATCTCACTGGTCATCCCCAAAGCCAACACCTCCTTTGGCCGCCATTCCTTCCAGTTCTCTGCTGCCAATGACTGGAACGAACTGCAAAAAGCTCTGAAGCTGGAGACACTTATCTCCCTCACTAACTTTAAGCATCAGTTGTCAGAGCAGCTTACCAATCACTGCACCTGTACACAGCCCATCTGTAATTAGCCCACACAACTACTTCATCAAATCAAATCAAATTTTATTGGTCACATGCGCCGAATACAACAGGTGCAGACATTACAGTGAAATGCTTACTTACAGCCCTTAACCAACAGTGCATTTATTTTTAACAAAAAAAGTAAAAATAAAACAACAAAAAAAGTGTTGAGAAAAAAGAGCAGAAGTAAAATAAAATAACAGTAGGGAGGCTATATATACAGGGGGGTACCGGTGCAGAGTCAATGTGCGGGGCACCGGCTAGTTGAGATAGTTGAAGTAATATGTACATGTGGGTAGAGTTAAAGTGACTATGCATAAATAATTAACAGAGTAGCAGCAGCGTAAAAAGGATGGGGTGGGGGGGCAGTGCAAATAGTCCGGGTAGCCATGATTAGCTGTTCAGGAGTCTTATGGCTTGGGGGTAGAAGCTGTTGAGAAGTCTTTTGGACCTAGACTTGGCACTCCGGTACTGCTTGCCGTGCGGTAGCAGGGAGAACAGTCTATGACTAGGGTGGCTGGAGTCTTTGACAATTTTGAGGGCCTTCCTCTGACACCGCCTGGTATAGAGGTCCTGGATCGCAGGAAGCTTGGCCCCAGTGATGTACTGGGCCGTACGCACTACCCTCTGTAGTGCCTTGCGGTCGGAGGCCAAGCAGTTGCCATACCAGGCGGTGATGCAACCAGTCAGGATGCTCTCGATGGTGCAG